CAATCTATATAAGTTGATCTATACATTTCCTTCCCAAGATTCTCGACATTTCGATTTTTATATTTAGGTCAAAACTATAAGTAGAATTAATAGTAATTAAACACTGGACAGGCGCCAAGCAGAACATGTATCATTTATTTCTTCCATTGTATAAAAATTAAGCTAAAATTAATTATTTAGCTTTATTCAGCTGCTTTGGCAATATGACTAAGTTATATTGTCTATTTCGGTTTCAAATGTGCCATAATGAAAATGATTAAGCTAGGTTTATCGTCCTTGCTATCGCATTTCTGTAACTTAAATGTTCAGATTTATTGGGGAATTTTACAAAGTTAATGGTCTTAGAAACGTAACTGGGTGACACAAACACAATGAGAAATCAACACTCAGCTTTTTAGGTTTCGATTTCACAAGAAATTATGCTGCAACACTCGTAAACATACCGAAAATGAAATACGCAGCTATAATCCTGAGTCACCTGCGAAATGTAAACTCATATTTGTCTCCAATCTGTACAATTCCTTGACAAATTCTGCTTTAGGTTCTACTTCAAATGTCAAATCTGGCCCGCGTTCCACTTTCAGTGGGTCTTACCGTATTTCTGGCGCATGATAATTACGTCACAAATGGGGTTGGACAACAAATGCCTGAAAGCTAAATGATTCATATTAATTAGGTTGTGCCGAAAAAAACTTCCTTATGGTGAAAGTTTACTTTATTAATATTAATAACAATATGCAATCGTCGCTTAGTAACCTTCCAATAACGTAGTAAAGGCTTGGCTTATTTGTTACCGCGAAAGTGAAAATAATTTTCTCAACTCTTTTCAGAATATATGTTATATATATATATATATATATATATATAACAAATGTTCAAGATAATCTCTGTCAATGGCACTGTGATACAGTGATCTCATGAGAACATTTTGTGCAAATGATGTTATGGTTTAGTCTGACTTTTTTCACATGGTGCATAAGATACCATATTTGAAGTAACTTTATGCTCTTAAGATTAATTTCCATGCCTAAAATTAACTTTTTAGCCATAATTTGAAAGTAGAATGTGACAAAACAAGTGTTATTGCTAAATCTACTTTCTTTACAATTGGACAAAAATTGTTACATTTAATCGTATTGATAGTGATAGTGTGTGTGCATGTTTTTACTTGCTATCCTATGATTTTATGCTTTTTTTCCTCTTACAGCCTATATATCTTCCTCTTGTTCCTCTTTCGCTCCAGTGATCCAGCAGATCAGTGTTTATGATGTCCAGAGTGTTATTATCCAGTCTACTAGGCACAAACATGACTAGTTGTCAATACTAAGCTGCCCCTCTGTGAACTGTTTACAATATCATGTATCCTTTAGATTGTTTTAAGCTCTGCTTAACCCTTATTAGGGTGGGACATTATACCTGTCATTAAGTGAAGATCTGCCCCAAACTCATTAGTTGTATCCAGGGCCAGCTGAGGTATGTGGGGCACCAAGTTGTAGCTGTGGGCCTCAGTTAAAATCGCTGTGGGATCCCACAACAGCCAGGGGCCCAAAAAGCGTCACCACCTTTCGCCCTACTAGCAACGTCCCTGGTTGCATCAATAGTGCTCAGTGCAACAGAAGTTTCAAACAGGCTCCGTGAACAGCTCTGTTCATAAGTCAATGTTAAGAAGCTTTAAACCTCACTTTGATTACCGGTTCACGTCATCTGTTACAACAAATGAGGAAACAATGAGATTGTGACCTAATCCAATGTTCTGCATCCTAAATGTCAATCAGTAAAGTTCATTTGTTCTCACTTTTACATTTAAGCAGCCATGAAAATATAGCCTATATAGAAAAAGAAATACAATTAATGGTCAAAAGTGCTATGACATGAAAGTCTCCTAAAATGAGAGTTGTGTGAAAGAGAAAGGGTTCTGGTAATGTTATATGGCGACCATAACATCTGGATAGCGGTAGGCCTATTTGTCAAAAATTATGAGGCTGGGGCAAGTTGTCACAGTGACTAATAAGGGGATCATTATCTTCGAACAGATCATTTAATCAGTGAGTCCTTGACTCGAGAACACCTGCAATCTGATCAGTCCAATTAGCAAATAAATCCGCAGTGTTGGGGAAAGTTACTTTTAAAAGTAATGCATTACAATATTGCGTTACTCCATAAAAACAGTAACTAATTACGTTACTTCGTTACTTTTTATGGAAAGTAATGCGTTACGTTACTTTTGCATTACTTTTTAAATCTGGACAGGGCTTGCTTGTTTGTTTTTAAAATAAAAAAAAAAGTTATATTTTTGGCAAATATAAAAGCCTTTTCACACCAAAGTGAAATGAATTAGCCTCAGGCTGAAGGGAAAGTAAATTTAAGTCCGTACAGTAGAATGCAGAAGAAGACATTTCAACACACTTCAGCAATAAAGAAAGACACACAAATGTTTTTCTAGAGTAATTTGTGCTTATTATTATGGTTGAACTGGATCATCGAAGACATTGGTTAATAAAATGGGATTAAATACATAAAGGATATTTGTGTTGTTTAACATTTAATTATTGCATATTCTGAGTTGCATTATTTTTATTCATTTTGAGGAATACTGACTCTGTGTTTTTTTGTGTGTGAGATGAATTAATGCATATTCATATTTATTTTAGAACTACAGTAACATCTTCTGATTTCTCTCAACATGGGGACAGGAGAGCTGTCAATCAATAAATTGGAGAAAAAAAAAAAAGTAACTTGCGTTACTTATTTGAAAAAGTAACTCAGATATTCTCTTGTAAATTAAAAAGTAATGCGTTACTTTACTAGTTACTCGAAAAAAGTAATCCAATTACGTAACTCGCGTTAATTGTAATGCGTTACCCCCAACACTGGTTAAGCGTGATTTGTGATCTCATTCAATAGCTATTCTTTAAAAAGAATCGTCTCGTTTACGAATCGGACACCATAAGTGAGAATGTTTTCCAAAATAAAATTAAACTGATAAAGTAAGCTTCTCTCAGCTAACAGGGAACGTTCTCAGAACTTTGGCTCAGAATGTTCTGCTAAGGTTCTCTCAAAGTTATGAAAAAATGTTCTTCCAGTAACATTAATAGAACATTTGTTGTACAAAACATTAATAGAACAAAAGTTGTCAGGTGTTTAATAATGTTCTATAATAACAAAAAATATTATTATTCATCGGTTATGGAATGTTTTTTTCTTTAAATGTTATTACTATGTGTTACGGGGCTGACGAGACGTGCGGATCCATGTGCAAAGCTTTATTGGTCAGAAACAGGCATAAATCAAACATTGGCAAACAAGTATGTAAGAGACAAAGCATTGGCAGTCCGGTAAACAGTGAGGGTCAATCGACGACGAACATAATCCAATAGGGCAAGACTAGAGAGATAATCCAGGTACAAAGCAAAGGTCCAGGCAGGGGCAAACAGTATCCGAACAGGGCAAGATGAGAGAGGTAATCCAAAGTGCACAGGCAAAGATCAGAACACGAGGAAACCCATGAGGAAACCGACAAGGCAAGACTAGGCTAAGACTATGAAACTTCAAGTAGGCTCCGTAACGTAGCTATCACAAACTAGCGATATGCGCATACAATGCTCGGCAGTGAATGGTTGTTTGAGTGAGTGT